GATCTGATAGGCTTCTGAAACCTCAGCCCCCATTTCATAAAACTGGCTTAAAGAAAGCAACCAGCTTAGAGAAGACAGAGAGCTTTGAGGTTTGAGATAGTAACCTGCACTGAATTGTACTGGTTTAGCTGAAGGTTAGGGGAAGCTATTTTCTGTTTGTTTGTTTGTTTTTGTAAAGTGAATGCATGGCTTTAGGAAATTACATTACATCTACTGATTGGGGATGTCCATCCTTGCTCTTTTTTTCTTTCTTTCTTTTTTTTAAGACAGAGGCTCGCTCTGTTGCCAGGCACCAGGCTGGAGTGCAGTGGCGCGATCTCAGCTCACTGCAATCTCCACCTCCCGGGTGGAGCAATTCTCCTGCTTCAGCCTCCTGAGTAGCTGGGACTACAGGCGCGCGCCACCATGCCCAGCTAATTTTTGTATTTTTTTAGTAGAGACGGGGTTTCACCATGTTGGCCAGGATGGTCTCGATCTCTTGACCTCATGATCTGCCCGCCTCAGCCTCTCAAAGTGCTGGGATTACAGGCGTGAGCTACCGTGCCCAGCCCCATCCTTGCTCTTTAGTGGTCCACAGAATGTTTGACCAACTACAGCATAAAAATTCTGTCTCAGGAGGGCAAGACTCCTAGTTGACACTGGGGTCTTCATCAAAATCTCCCCAGATTAAATGATCACGATTCACCAGTGTCCAGTCTGAGGAAAGCCAGGAAGATCAGAGGTGCTTTTCTGAAGTGGAGAGCTGTCTCTGACTTGACAGGTCTCCATAGGGTAAACAACACAAGCATTAAATATAATAGTTTGAGGTGAAATTGACTTGGTTACATTAGAGGTGGTTAGCAGTAGAAGGAAAGAAGAAGGGCAATAGAGTAGATGAAAGGGGGTTAAACTTTTCTTAGCTTTAGTTTGGTAGAGTTTCCCCTGGGACTATGGCCCATGACTCTGGAGGCGGTGGTGCTCTCTTGACTCAGGTGTGATGAGTCCATTCTTTTTCTGCTGGCCAGACTGCAGTTCCAGTAGTTAGGAGCACTAGGTAAAGTCCTTCCCAGGCCGGTTCAAAGTTTTCCTCCTGCAAGCTTTTGACGAGGACGTGATCCCCAGGCTGATGTGATGTACAGGGAACTGCAGGGGTGGTGCCTGTGCTAAAAGATTTCAGTTCTGAGGAAAGAGAAAGTGGAAGATAAACCAAGTCTGTAATTCCTAAGAAACTGATCTTCTGTTTTGAACTTGGGAATGTCAGTAGTAGAGTGCAAATAGGGTAATCTCTACAACATTTCATAAGGGGATGAGCCAACATCTCTCTGAGGAGCAGTTCGGATTCTCAACAGGGCAATGGGAAGGCATCTAGTCCATGGCAACCGAGTCTCTGAGACTGATTTGGTTAGGGGCTTTTTAGAGTTTGGTTCATTCTTTCCATTCTTCTTGATGAAGGTGGGTGCCGGGGAGTATGATATTCCCATGTTATTTCTAGTACCTGGACTAAATTTTTAATGACATTTGCAGTGAAACGAGTCCCATTATCTGAATTAATGTTTTCTATTAATCCAAACCTGGGCATAATATTTTCAACTAATGCCTTAACTACATTAGTACCAGTTGTACTTGAAAATGGAATAGCTTTTATCCAATGAGTAAGGTGATCTACTAATACTAATACTTTAGACTAGCAACTGCAGGCATCTCTGTGTAATCAATTTGGATACTTTGGAATGGCCTTAAGTCTGGACTCCTTCCCCCAAGGGGTAATCTTTTTATAGTTTATTAGTTTTCATTGTTGTGGTTCTTTTTTCATACTAAGCAACTGTCTATAACCTGTTTGGCCAGGGTATAAATTCCTACGCCCCCATAAACTCTGAGGACTGTGTCACACATGGCTTAGGGCCCCCAGTGGGTCCCTTGATGCAGATTAGAGAGGACTTCTTCTCTCATGAGGGGTTTGGGTAACATTTCTCTTCGGTCTAGTAACACCCATTTTCCTTCCGAATTTTCTTTAGCCCTATTTTTATTAGTTTTCCTTTTTCAGTGGAAGAAAAAATGGGGATCACAGTAGGAGGAGGAAGGTAGGGAGTTAAGTGAAAAATAGGCATTTTAGAAGAAATGGCAGCCTGTTTGGCTATCTGATCCGCTAGGTTATTTCCACAACTTTTAAAAGAAAGGCTTTTCTGGTGTCCAGGGACATGGACAATAGCTGTTTCGTCTGGCAACTGAAGGTTATTCAGTACTTGGGGATTAGCTCCTTATGAACAAGGTCTTGACCTTTACTATTGATGAGACCTCGTTCAGTCCAAATTTTTAAAATCGGTATAGATGGTTCCTTCTTGGTTCCGCAAGTACTTTAAGGCTTGGCTGAGTGCAAACAGCTCACAAGTTTGGGCAGACCAATTACTATGCAATGTTCCTGACTTTATTTCTTCAAGAGTTTTTCCATCAGTTACTGAATATCCATTTTGTGTGTTTTCCTTAAATTACCCAGGAGAAACCATCTACAAATAAGCCTCGTCCCATCCTGAAGGGAGTTTCTCCTAGGTCTGGTCGGACCTTTGTATGGTAATTAGTTAAATCTAAACGTGTGCTCTCTCTTTAGATTTGGATCCCCTGTTAGGAAACTGGCTGGGTTAAGCGAATTATCAGTGGTTCATGTTAAATTATCTTTTTCTAACGGAATAGTCTCATACTTTAAGATTCTTGAGTCAGTAAGATACCTTTCTGGCTTCTGACTTAGGATAGTTCTGACCCGGTGAGGTGTGCTCACAGTGAGGTTTCCTCCAAAAGTTATTTTTCTACTTTCTTCTGTTAGCAAAGCAGTTGCCACTACAGATTGAATACATTTGGGCCATCCATGGGTTACCGGGTTAAGGATTTTTGATAGGAAGGCTGAGTTGCCAGTGGCCTCTGTGCTTTTGGGTAAGAACTTCTAAGCCTATGCCTTGTTTACACTGACAAAAAAATGGAATGGCTGCTTTAAGGAGGGTAAAGCTAGGACAGAGGCAGTTATTAGTAGATGTTTTAAACTTTCCACGTGTCGGATTTCCGGTAATTGCCCAATGAGGGGGTTTGGCCTGTCTTGCATGAGCTTTTTGTATAAGGATTTTGTTTTTAGGGCATACAAGTCTACCCATAGATGACAGTATCTGACTAATCCTAAAATTTTCTGAGTTCTTGTTTAGTCTCTGGTAGGGGCAAGGATATGATGCCTTCAACTTGTTTAAGCTAAATTCTATGTTTACCTTTGCTAATTAAATGACTTGTTTTAATATTTGACTAAATAAATTTGGAGACCCCGTAAACCCTTGGGGTAAGACTGTCTATCGGTATTGCTGTTTTCAACTGGAGTGAGGGTCTTTTCACTCAAAGGCAAACAGGTCCCAGCTGTCCTCTGCTAATGGACAGGCCCAGAAGGCATCTTTTAAATCAATTGCTGTAAACCATTGTTGAATGTACAGGATCTCACTGATAATAGTGAAAGAAGTGGAAACAGCAGGGTGTATAGTTTGGAGTACGTGATTAATAGCTCTGAGGTCTTGCACTAACCTGTATGTCCTGTCTGGCTTCTTTACAGGAACTATTGGGGTGTTACAGGGAGACATACAGGGTTTAGGAAGCCCATCATGGAGAAGGCCTGCAATTATAGCTTTTAAATTTACCCTAGCTTCTAAAGGAATTGGGTATTGTTTTCTCTTTCCTACTTCCTTAGGAGTTTTTAATTTAACATGAATGGGAGGAAATGGTAACTTTCCTCAATTCCCATCTTTTGACCATACCTCGGGATGCATGTGTCCTTTGTCCATGGTGGTGAGCAAGTTTAGGGAAGGGAGGAATTTTCTAGGATTGATTTGGAGGCCTAAGCCTAATTTTAGCATTAAATGTCTTCCTAACAGATTTGTTCCTGTTTGCAGAATTAACAGAAATTCGATACTAGCAATTGGCTTTTATATTTCACTTCTGTCTCCTCTAAGATTTTTTTTTTCTACCTTTGAGTCTCCTGGCTTTACTCTTTCATACCCTTTATATTGCCTGGAGCATGGGGGTCTTAGTTCCTTACAGGTTCCGGCCCCCGGGGTACTTTGTTGTATGGTGGACACAGAATTTTTGCCCTCTGCTTTTGCTTTTTCTTCATCTCTTTTTACATATACTTTTGAGCTTCTCTTAGTAGCTCTTCTATCTTTCTAGCTCTCTATCCTTTGTAATTTCTTGTTAACATCTGGCCCACTATAAGTTACAAAATGAAGCTTTAACATCCCTCATTTGGGGGGGGGCTTCTAATTCTAGACCTGCATATTTCCTCATTTGCTTTTTGAATCTTTCTGGGAATTTGATAGGTCTTTTTATTTTCTTTCTAATATTTTAACATTAGGCCTTGGGGGCTGTCAAGGGAAAATTGTTGCTAGCTTTATTCTTTTTGTCTCTTACCTTACTTGAGGTATTTCCCATCTTGATAGTTTTGGGGTGAGGTTCAATTTCCCTCACTAGAAATGTCTTGCCTTTTGGTGTGAAGCTTAATTTCCCCTACTGGAAATTTCTCACTTTCCCTACTACTGGTGGTTTGTGTGAGGCCCAGTGGAGATTTCTCACCTGTTTATAACTTCCCAGATACCCCGACCAAGGAATACGTCACCACCGCCATGGCTTTTCTTGCCTTCGTATGTCCTGACCAAGGAATACTTTACCACCCCTGCAGCTTTTTTTACCTGGGTCCCAATCAAGGAATACTTCACTGCCCCCCACAGCTTTTCTTACCTTGGTCCTGACCACCAGAAAATACTTTGTTGCTTTTGCAACATTTCTTACTTTGGTCAGTGCCCAGAGTTACCTAGTCGCCATGCTATGTGATGATCTTTGTCCCCAAGTTGTTGGTCTGTTTCTTCCTGTGTCACTGAGTCCAGTTTTATTCATCACACTGGATAGGTCTTGATTCCTTACTCCTGAGGCCACCACAATGAGGCAGTGAGGCTCACCTCCTCATGGGAGAGGACTAGACCCTCCCCAGAGGAGAATGGGAATCCCAGGCAGGCCCCCAAATTTGTTAGAAATAAACTTTTGGTGCTGTAAAAGAAATAGCACTCAAATATAAATTTTTTCAGCAAGGCAATTTTCTTCTATAGCAGGCTATGTATCATGGATGGAACAATGGTAAGAGCATACCTGAACAAGGGAGAGGAAGGGGTTCTTATCCCTGACGCAGGTAGCCCCTACTGCTGTGTCATTCCTCTATAGGTAGGGTTGGACTGCACAGTCTAAGCTAATTCTGACTGGCTATTTTAAAGAGAGCGGGGGTATGAGCCAGAGTGGTGGGGTAAACAGTTTTGGTGCGAAAGACTGTTATGGAACAGGTGACTAAAGGTGACTCAGGATGGAGCTGGTGACCAGAGGAACACATGTGAACTACTGATCAGAGCTGGTAGGGAGGTTGTTTACTAAAACTAGGGGCAAAGAGGTGAGGAAGTTAAACTTTAAAATGGAGAACAAAGAACATGAAAACTGAACATACTGGCATACTGATTCTTTGAAGAGCAACTTGGAACTCACTGTATTTAACACCGTTGAATGGGTAAGTGGAATGGCATTGCATGTATCCAGGCTTTTGGGCTGCTGTTCTAAGCAGGGAGCCTGGCAAACATGTGATGCTCTCCTTCAATGCTGTTTGCAGCTCCAGCACTCTTTGGAGTCTGGGAAAATTTGACCTTTAAAAAGCAAATTGCCATAGAGATTGCCTTACCCAAAATTTTGGTTCCCAGCCTTCATTGGATTATCTACTGGGACAAAATAAAGTAAAACTGGCAAGCTTGTACTACTATCTCATGGCTAAGGTATCCATGGCTGTTGGATCTTTGTTTGTGTGTGTATACATTTCTATATGTGTTTATTTGTATGTGCACTTATTGTTATATATTGTGTCTACTACATTGGCTTATAAGTAAAAGAGTGCTCATAAATTAAGTAAATAAGCCTAAGCAATTTTCAAGTTCACATGACTTAAGTATAACTTTACTAAACAAGTTAGCTTTAAAATTATTGGAATAAAAATAAAAATGCCTTCAGAATTGTCAGCATACATTTTGTCTAAATTTTATGTTTGCTAGATATTTTGAGATGTCAGCGTTTGGCATGGAAGTGTAACTGGGGCAGCGTATTCAACTCCCCATTCTGAAGAGGTTCTTAGCCTTGCTAACCCCAAAGAATGGGGAAAGGGGCCCTGGAGGTGTGGTGAGTTTGCCTTTTGAATAAATATCGTGGACCCAAAGAGTTTTGCGGAAAAGTGATTTATTAGACAGAGAGAGAGAGAGAGAAAAAAAAAAAGAAGAAAGACAGCTTTCACACTGTCATGGGAGGGGACTCAGAGAAGGAATCCCTATAGGTAGGGAGCAGCTGGAGTTTTAACCCTTGAGTTATTCCCTCCTTATTCATGTTCTTGTCCAATGAGAGGAGTTCTTTCAAACTTCCTCTGGAGTGATTGATCTTTGACTCTGACACCAGGTTGGCTGCTTGGTCCACAACTGTGAGTAAGAGAGTCCCCTCCTCCCAGAGCTTCTGGCAGGTTTTTTGGGACAAAGGAGCTTCATCTGGCTCTCTCTACCTAGCCTACTACAAGTGGGAAACCCAGACAAAGAACTTTACATTTAAAACCCCTTTGGTTCCGGGATGGAGACGTGGAGCTGGGAAACTCTTGCCTTTGAAACCATGCCCGTCACAGACCCGAGAAGAGAAATCCCTCTTCTCTTTTCTAACTATAAAACTATGGTTTGCATGCTTCCTTTTGACAAATGCGAGTAATTTATAAGGAAAATATCTTGTGCCCCCCAAAATATCTAGGCTGAAGGAAAAATCAGGAGTACAAGCTGCTTGAGGTGACGCTGCCTCCCATTCTATTCAGTCTCACGGAGATAAATGTATATCTAATTGCCTTTTTTGGTAAGGCTAATCAGAAACTCAAAAGAATGCAACCATTCATCTTGCACCTATATTGTGACCTGGAAGCCCAAGCCCCTGCTTTTCCAGACAGAACCAATGTTCATTTTACATATGTTAATTGATGTCTCATGCCCCCCTTGTTAAAAGTGAAAGAACTGAGTACCGAATGAGATAAACTTTTTTTTCTTTTGAGACAGAGTTTTGCTCTGTCACCCAGGCTGGAGTGGAATGGTGCGATCTTGGCTCACTGCAACCTCTACCTCCCAGGTTCAAGCGATTCTCCTGCCGCAATCTCCTGAGTAGCTGGGATTACAGGTGCGTCTCACTATGCCTGGCTAATTTTTGTATTTTTAGTAGAGGCAGGGTTTCACCATGTTGGTCAGGCTGGTCTTGAACTCCTGAGCTTGTGCTCCGCCTGCCTTGGCTTCCCAAAGTGCTGGGATTACAGGCGTGAGCCACTGTGCCCAGACAGGGTTAAATGTTTTAGTCAAACTTTTTGTGTAAATTAAAATCTTAAAGTTATTTTTGATGCTCATTTAATATCTCTGTCATTTCCAATATGAAAGAGTTGTGATATGGGGAGATATGTTTCTAAAATTGTGGAATTGTTCTTATCTATAAACGTTCATATCTGATAGTTCAGGATTTCTTGCTTTTTAGAGTTTCATTAAAGTTTTAGCATAAAAATTCTAGTTAACACAAAATTCTGTATACAAAATGTGCCCCAAAGGGTTACGTTATTAGTGAGAAAAAGAATAATTTTGTCTAATTCAGAAGTTATCCAAAAGTTAGTTCAAATTACAGATTCAAAAAGGTTATTTATGAAACAATGTGTAAGGAACCATAAGCAGGGGAGAAAAATATGGAAAAAGTTTAGATGATAAAATATTCTTGGCCAGGCAAGGTGGCTCATGCCTCTAATTCCAGCATTTTGGGAGGCTGGGGCCAGTGGATCACCTAAGGTCAGGAGGTAGAGTTGCTTCTTCAGCTTTTGAAAATGCTTGAACTTGCCTGCTTTACAACTCAGTAAAGCCTGGGGATATGTGGCTTTGGCCACACCCCTCGTTATGCTGAAAATAATCAAACCTTATCAGCACCTAGTACATAATTAACATAACTTACCAGGTTTTGCATTAAAATTAAAATTGCTGGCTGGGCACAGTGGCTCACCCCTGTAATCCCAGCACTTTGAGAGGCCAAGGCTTGCAGATCACGAGGTCAAGAGATTGAGACCATCTTGGCCAACATGGTGAAACCCCTTCTTTACTAAAAATACAAAAATTAGCTGGGTGTGGTGGTGCATGCCTGTAGTCCCAGCTACTCAGGAGGCTGAGGCAGGAGAATTGCTTAAATCCGGAAGGGGGAGGCTGCAGTGAGCCGAGATTGCGCCACTGCATTCCAGCCTGGTGTCTGGCGACAGAGCAAGACTCTGTCTCAAAAAAAAAAAAAAATTGCTAAGAATCACCATTATAATATGCAATTAAAACTACTAGAAATAGTTTTACATACAGGCTGTGTGAGAACAGTAAAACGTGTGGGTTTTTAAAATAAAAGGTTATAAAATACTTCTGCTTCTTTCAAATTTCTGAGTCATCATTTTGGTAAAATAAATAACTTAGTTTCAAAATTGTCTTTCCTAATGGCTGGCTTTTTGGATGGATCAGAGGACCCCTGAAAACATTCAGAAAAGAGGTAAACAGGATTACTTAACATGTTTAGGTATACAGAATTGCCAAAATGATGCTCAATCTTCTTTAAGGCCTACTTTTGTAAGTAATACTAATATATGTTTCAAAATTGTATGGGATTTTACAAATTCTAATGTCTAAGTATTTGCTGTCAATCAATTATAATTACGGTTATTACGTTGTTGTTACAAGCCACAGAAATAACCAAATTTCCTTGTATAAAGCTACTAACCCAAGTAGAACAAAACAATTAATTAAATACCAAGAAAATACTTGGTCAGATTTTCATGTTAAACCAGCTGATACTGAAATTGTTTAAATATACAATTTGAATAAACTCCATGGTCTAAGTCCCATTGCCTGATAACCCATCAGTTATCCGTGCTATGCACCTGATTTGGAAAAACAGCTGGTATTCAAGAGGATATAAGGAGAACCAGGATGGCCACCTTGTCCTCCCTCAGTCCTTAAAGCTTTTGTTATTAAAAGTTTTGCATTCCATGACTCATATGGAAAAGATAAAATAATTCAAATTAAATACATTGGTGTGGTAACTTACAAATTACTTAACTCGCTTATAACCAGTGTTTAGTCCCATATTCCTGGGAAAACAGTTTAAGCCTCAGGCACATTTGGTCACCTGAGCCATTTACACATTTTATTAAAAAATCTCATTCAATTGTTATTTTCAATGCATGTTTTCTGGTTGTATAAAAGCTTTCCCATGCAAGAGCGCTGATGTTATGACGATAGATTATTGTGCTGCAGTGTGTTTTCACCAGTTAAAGAAAGCTTTATATTGTTTGCATCTTTTGGGAAGATCAGAAAAAGAACTGTCCTTGCCATCCACACTACAATAAAACTTCATGACCTTGAACTTTGGGTTAGTATCTCACAACTGAGAAGGGTTTCTCCACATTCTTGGGACTGTAAACCCATTGGAACCTTTGAGATTTCTCTCCAGAGGAGGATGGCATCCTTGATGTAAACAGCTTTTTCCAAGTTCACAGATTAAGACTTCGACTATCAGGAAACTCTTATCTATGAATATTTCCCTTGCTTATGCCTCTATGAACAATACAAGTGGAAAAGATGTCTATGATGTGCCCTTATGGGGTGTACTTTATTTGTGAAGGAGTTTGCAGCCAGTCTTACACATGGATAACCTTATACTTGGACAGATAAAAGATGAATGCCCAATGTAGGTGAGAAACTTTAATGGTACATACATTGCCATGAGTCAGAAACAAAACATTGGTTCATACCTCTTAACTCACATCATGGGTTAAAGAGAACATTGCCAGGAGGCCTTCACTCTTCTAGAACGGCATCATTTGTTAGGTTCTTTTTCCATGGTTTAAAGTAAAAGAAGTGATGATTAGAAATGTATCCCTCATGATAGGCTCTATGACAAATTCTACTATAAAGGATACAAACAATTCTCTTGCAAAAGTTATAATAGAATTGGCTGAACAGAGAAGTATCTGTGCAGCTGCGGGCACTCATGGCCTATGGAGAAAACATCTGGTATTATGGAAATTCAGTTGCAGTGGGCTAACGAAGAGACTGTTTAGTTAAGTCATCCTTTGATCTATCTGGTTTTAGGAGGTTTGGTTTATGGGGACCTTGGGTAAGGAACATACTCTGAATTCTTGTTGCTATCCTCCCAATAGTAATAATAATAGTCTCCATGGTGTGCTGTATTCTCTCAAAGGTTTTAAATGCTTGCCTAAAGCCATCTCTAGAGTGTCATATGGTCTCTCTTCAACTGGAACGACAAGAGCTGAAAGAAATATACAACCATGAGGTCATCACAACCCATGAATGACGTGCTGAGATCGGAGACCCAAAATGATGGTAACTGAGAGTGGTGCTAAGGCCTTAAGTTTTGGTCACACTCTCACCTAAGTGAGAACTTGACCAAAAAGGGGGAATTTTTTAAAGAAAATTCTGGGAGGCCATTGCTTTGGACTAAGCTCATGAACTAGTCAGGGACTGTGTTAAAGGAAAAAAATCTGTCTTCCCTGGTTCACAAGGGGTGTGGTTTCAAAGACAAGAACTTCCCAGCAGCATGCCTCCAACTGCCTCCCCATCCAGGAACCCGGAGTTCTTTGTCTAACTTTCCCACACGCGAGCTAGGTACAATTTCAGGTGTGCTCCTCTGTTTAAAAAAAGCCTGCAAAAAGCTCTGGGAGGAAGGGCCTCTGCTCTGGGGTGGACAGCCAATCCAGCATCAGAGGCGAGGCTTAGTCACTCCAGAGGAAGTTTAAAAGAACACCTCTCATTGGAGAAAAACATGAATGGGGCAGGAATAACTTCAGAGTTAAAATTCCACTGCACCTTACCTGCATGGATTTCTGTCTCTGGGATCCCCTCACACAAGAACGTGGGAGCTGTCTCTCCCTCTCTACCTGTGCAGATATCCTCTTTGGATTCCCTCCTCACAGCAGCGTGGAAGCTTTCTCTCCTTCTCTCTCTCTGCCTAATAAGTCACTTTCTGCTAAACTCTTTAGGCCTGCTATGTACTTGAATGGTAAGCTCACTGCAGGCCGGTGCCCTCTTCCTCATTCCTGGGGCAAGGGAGGCCAAGAACCTCAGGGCACATCCCCCTGGGTAGGGAGCTAAGCCCCATCCCATCCCATGACCAGTTTACACTAGGCCCCAACAAACCAAACCAAAGCAAAATGGAGTTGCTTGTGCTAAGACTTTAAGGAAACACATAGATTCTAGAACAGACCAGGGTTTTTTTTTTCCTGCAAATCTCTATAACAAACATTCCTGACAACATATGTATCCACCCCCTGAAGTTCCCATTAAATCTTTAAGTAAATTCATTTCTTCTCACCTAGAGACCATCAGGCTTTAGATGATCATGCAGCAAAGGTTCCAGCCAGTTCCAGGTGAAGACACCACCCCTCACCCTCAAGAAGCTACACTGTCTTCACTAGACAGAGCAGGGAGAGAGTTTCGTCATCCTCAATAGGTAGGGACTATGCCCCAAACCAGCATGAAGCAGTTACAGAAAAAAAGATGATTGGTCCTTATACCTCCCATGAAGATTTATGGAGATCACATCTCTTACAGGGGAAATGAGGCAGGAAAATCGGGTCTGGAGGCAAGGAACATAAGGCGGATTCACACTTCAACTTGACAGGAAATATCATCTCCATAGGGCAGATGTGAAGTAAATGACTATGTAACTTTACTTCACTCTCATCATTTACCTAGTTGGGCATAAACTAACTAACCAATGGAATCCTCTAGAAGATTTTTAAACTCCCAAAAATTCTGTAACAGGGCCCTGCTCCCACACTGTGGAGTATACTTTCATTTTCAATAAATTTCTTCATTCTTTCTTCACTGTGTGTTTTGCCCAATTATTTGTTCAAGACGCCGAGAACCTGGACACCCTCCACTGGTAACAATAGTGCTGAGGCTGATAAACCCTGATTTATGTTGCTTATTATTATTATTTTTGAGACGGGGTCTCACTCAGTTGCCTAGGCTAGAGTGTAGTGGCATGATCATGGCTCACTGCAGCCTCAGTCTCCTGGATTCAGGTGATGCTCTTCCTTCAGCGTCCCAAGTAGCTGGGACTACAGACACATGCCACCACACCCGGCTAATGTTTGTATTGTTTATGTAGAAACTGGGTCTCTCCATATTGCCCAGGCTGGTCTCGAACTCCTGGGCTCAACCAATTCGCCTGCCTTAGCCTCCAAAGTAATCCCTTGTAATCCTAGTAATCCCTGCTGAGATTACAGGCATGAGTCACCACTCCCACCCCATGTTGCTTGATCAACCTTGCACTTTGGAAATAAAACCAATTTGATTGTAATGTAATATTCTTTTTATATATTACTATATCTAATTTTCTAATATTTTGTTTAGGATTTGTATCTATATTCATGGAAGAGATGGTCCTATAATTTTCTTTTCATGTAATGTCCTTGTCAGGTTTTGGTATTCAGGTTGATTTGGCCCCATAAAATGAATTGGAAAATGTTCCTTCTTTTTCAGTTCTCTGAAAGTGTTTATATAAGATAGATGTGTTCTCTGACTTCCTTTGCAGTCAGACCTGCCTCTTCTCACCTCTTCAACTCCATAATCCATTGATGTCCTTTGTCTAAGCCTGAAAAATTTAGTGAACCCAGTTACAGCACTAAGCAAAATTACTATTTTTTTTTGAGACGGAGTTTTGCTCTTGTTACCCAGGCTGGAGTGCAATGGCGCGATCTCGGCTCACCGCAACCTCCGCGTCCTGGGTTCAGGCAATTCTCCTGACTCAGCCTCCTGAGTAGCTGGGATTACAGGCACACACCACCATGCCCAGCTAATTTTTTGTATTTTCAGTAGAGACGGGGTTTCACCATGTTGACCAGGATGGTCTCAATCTGTTGACCTTGTGATCCACCTGCCTCGGCCTCCCAAAGTGCTGGGATTACAGGCTTGAGCCACCGTGGCCGGCCTACTATTTCTTAAAGGTCAGAACTCACCTGAACCTACTGGATCCCTGCAAGGCTGGGAACACGTGGAAAATCTATCTTTGCCCTCAAGCCTAAGTGTTATGATCTACCTCAGACTTTTATCACTTTGGCAGTTACTAGGCACTGACTCAAATGCTAATAAAGTAGGCTACTAATTCCCATTCGGCCATTGTTCCTGGTCTATAGCTGCCTTGGGTAGGAACCCTTTGAGAAGAATAGGGCAGGATTAAAACACTCTTGGGACCCCTGCCATAACACTTTCATAGCAGCTCTGAAATCTTACCTTTTACCACTGTCATCTACTGTGTCTTCTATTGCTAACGAAACTTTTAACTCTTTTCAGGAGTTGAAAACCTTTTCTACACCTTGCCTGTCAAGACAGCTGGGTGGGTACAGGAGGGGAGAACAGAAGTTTTTGCATTGGACAGACCTATTTTAAATTTTAATTGTGCCACTATGAGTAGGGTTGCCTGAAACAAGGCATTTAGCTTTCCTAGGGGAGCCTCTGTTTACTCCTCTGTGAAGTGGGACTAATAATGTCGACTTCAGGGGTGTGTTTAAGAAAAAATGAATTTATTAAGGGGTTTAGGTGGTGCACAGCCTCAGAGGGCTGAAGACACAGACACTAGGATGAGCTTCTAGAAACAGCTCTCAACACCAGCCCAGAGCTGGCCCACCCAGGGAGCTGCTGCTTCTATCCTAATCAGGAAGCACTAAACTGGAAGACCGCCCTTGACATCGAGGAAGCAGTGCTGGACCCACGCCCACAAAATGTCTTCCTCCTGCTGGTTTCTGCACTTGACTCAAAATGTGCAACTGATTGGAGAAACCAAAATTGCATTTGTGATGCTAGCTGCAAGCAAGTCTGGAAAATGCAGTTTTTTTGCTTTCCAGCCTTTGCATGCTGGGAAGGTGCTGGAACTGGGGATGAGCAAGCCTATTCACTGTACCCTCTACAGTTGGCAACCTATTTTCATACCTGTTTCCTTTCAGGGCTGTTTCAGGCATCTGTGTTCCCAGGCCTAGCTAATGAATCATGATTATTCTTAGTTATGACAACCGTCTTCCTCTTGCAGCTAGGAATAGTCACGTGACCCAGTTCTGACCAATGAGAGTAAGGGGAAGTCTGCTGCGGGCCAGTGGGTAAAGACTTCTGGGAAGGCTTTTGTTTTTCAATAAAAGGGACAGTTGTAGATTGATTCCAGTTCTTCCCCTTTCATTCTGCCTTGAATGTTTGGAGCTCCAGCAGCCATCATGTCAGCGTGAGGATGAAAGGCCAAAGAAAAGGCTGGCAAGAACAGAAATGTGGAAGATCATAAGCTCTTGTTGGCAGTGTTGAGCTGCTGAGCTAACTGGAGTAAATGCCTCCCTCTAGAATTCTTGAGAAAAATACATTCATATTGATTTGAACAACTGCTAGTTGAGTTATCTGGTATTGTAGCTGAAAGTATTCCTGATGATAGATAATTGTTCCTCTTAGAAAGGATGTGACTGGACTGCTGATGAAGTGGTCAATCTATGAGATTAGATAATTCACATATAGATTTTTAAGTATTCCATATTCCCTCTTGAGGCTTAAATTTCCATAAGAACAAACAATGCTGCCTTTCTCTGGGGAAAGGAGAGGAACTTTCTAGAAGTCTAAGAAGAGGGGCTGGTGGTGTGAGCAGGAGATACCTGTGACCCTCCCTCTTCAGAGCCCAGTCAGGGGGTCAGTGGAGAATGGGGATCTCTGAGAGTGCAGCTGAGAATTAGAGGAAATGTTGGAGCAATCAGCGGCATGGTGACCAGCCTGGAGGTCATGGCGGCCATGCCTGACCAGAGAGGAGATGCTGATGGGCAAGTGGACGAGAGACAGAAAAAGTAGAGAACAGAGTTGATCTCTGGGACCAGGAGAAGAGTGTTGGGGAGATGACACCCAAATGAGGCAACTCAGGGAGAAATGAGTTTTCCGAGGGATGGTCTCAAGCACTGCTGTGTTCAGTTCTCTTCTTCTGCTCTGCAGAGTACAGGAGGCAGAGGATTGAAACTGGCTGTAAGAACTGGGGATCAAGTGGACAATGTGTAATTGTAAAACGTTTACTCTCCCTGTTTGCTGTGAGCTTCCACCCATTCCTTGTTGATCCACACAGCCAGCGGGCACCGGGTCCCCACTCTGCATGAGGTGCCGCACCAGGTACTGGTGATGGTGCATAGAGAACATTCTCGTCTCCGAGGAACCCAGGCTAGTCATGGAGAAATAGAAAGGTAGACTGACACTTTTGGGGAGAGTTCAAAAACAAGTGCTCATCTGATTTGTGAATGCCTCCTCAGGAAAGGGATGGCCTAGCAGCAATGGGAAGGATGAGCAGGTGAGGGATGTGGCCAGTGGGAGGAAGACCTTTCGCAGTGGCTTAGGGGAAGGAGAACCTTAGGTTCGCAGTTGATCACAGCTGGAGCGTGAAGTTCAGGGGAAGAGATTAATAATCTGGAAAGGCACTGCAGCCTGGTCGAGTGGGAAAGAGTCAGGCTATGGAGTCAGACTTCTGACTCATCTCTGTGGCCTTGGGCATGTCACGTAACCCCTTGGAGCCTGTTTCCTTTTCTATGACGCAGGCACAATGGTTCTTTCCTCTTGGAAAAAGTTTCACTGGGGTAACAAATAACGAGGAATTATTAATTGGGAAAATGAATATAAAATAGCAACAATATTTTCTGGCACATGATAGGCATTTAAGAACAATTTAATCAATTCCAAAACAGCATCTTCCCCCTAAATTTGCATATCTTGGATATTGAGATTCATTGTTGAGGCCTAAGGGCAGCATCCTTTCTTTCTTGTTGGCACATGAACAATGGTGTCATGCAGTTGACGCCATCTTTCTTTCAAATATGGTGGTTCCTTGGAGTGTCTACAATAAAGAGCAGAAAACTTTGCTGTAAAAGTTCGGATAGTAAATATTTTAGGCTTTGTGGCCCGTATGGTCTCCATTGTAATGACTCAACTTTGCTCTTGTATTGCTAAGGAAGCCATGGACAATATGGAAATCTTAAATGAGACAAATCTTAAATTGTATATGTCTATGACATATACAATTTTTATATGTCATAAAATATTATTCTTTTGTTTTTCTGTCAGCCATTCAAAAATATAAAAAACTGTTAGTTCACAGGCTATATAAAAATAGCCTGGATTTGGCCCACTGTGCCCCTACCACAATGATATCTACTGGGAGATACCCAAGAATGGCTTTTCATCAGTGTCTGTGCTTTATGCCTCTATGACTACCTGGACAGTTTCCAGAACACCTTCAAGCTTTACTAGGAATGATTTGTAATGGTGTTTGGGGGAATCAGAGGCAATTTGAATCTAGAAACTCAGCTTGGATAGACTGGAATTGGGGATGTTTCCTGGAGGAGCTGCTTCGTGAACTGAGTTTTGCAGGATGAATTCAGTATGTGTGGTGCAGCGGAGAAACAGAAGCAAAAATGTGGAGCATCTCTGTCCACATGTGGAGTCAGGCATGGCTAGAGAATAGGTGCTAAAGACAAGGGGCCAATGTGGAGTGATGGGCCCAGAGCATGCTGGGTCTTGGAAGCCAGGCAAAGACATTGATTCCAAGGCAGGAGTTCTTCACTTGAGGACCAGAGATTGGGCTTTAGATAGTCTACAAGTCTCTTGTAATTTATGCAAAATTCTGTGGAATGTTCATTTTTCTAGGAACAAAGTTTATACCTTTTATTGATTTCTCAAAGGGCAACGTAATCCTCACTAAGAAAATATGATGACGGCACTGAAATGAGTGAGGCGACATCATCAATCTGGATGGCTGCCTGCCTTGGTCAGTTTCCCACATCTTTAGGAAGGCCCTGGTATGCAGGGATGGGCCCCCA